CACATAATCCCCCCCCGCGTGTTCTTGCTCCGCCGTCTCCTCCTCCCCGTGCTCCTCCACCGCCTCCTCTCTCTTTCCTCCTCCTCCTCCTCCTCCTCCTCCTCCTCCTCCTCCAACTCCTCCTCCTCCTCCTCCTCCTCCTCCGTCACCTCCTCCTACTCCTACCGCCCCCCCCCACACCAACCCCCAACCGACAGCCTCGGGCACGGCCAAACTGTGTTTCTGCACATGGCCCCCCTAAGTGCAGCATGTCAGGCTAATCATCATCAGCATCATCATGGTACTCGTCGTAATCATCACGAACATCGTCACCATCGTCGTCATCATCATCATCAGCATCACCATCAACATCAACCACATCATCATCGTCATCGTGGCATCGCCGTCGTCGTCATCGTCAACGCCACTAACATCAAAATCGTCATCACAGGGCTCACAGCGCCTCCGTCATCAAAATCGTCATGAACAAGCACTGGTGACCCCAACAGAGCCCCAAAATGGTCGCCAATGAGCCTCTTGGCGAGGTCTCAAGCCAAATGGGGCCCGATACCTAGTCAAGCAACCATCCTCGAACCTTCTTGATGTCCCAAGCTAGCCCTGAAATGGCCCGAAGAAGGCCCCAAAAAGCCTTCCCAAGGACGACGAAAAACGCCGAGGATGTCCTCCTCCTCCACGTCGTCCACGTCCTCCTCTCCCTCCTCCTCCTCCCCATCCTCCTGCTCCTCCTCCTCCTCATCATCCTCGTCCTCGGTCTTCTGCTCTTCCTGCTTCTCCGACTCAACTCCTCCGCCTCCCTGTCGTCATCCTCATCCTCCTGTCCTCCTCCTCCTCCTCCTCCTCCTCCTCCTCCTCCTCATCATCATCATCATCATCATCATCATCATCATCATCATCATCATCATCATCATCATCATCATCATCATCATCATCATCATCATCATCATCATCATCATCATCATCATCATCATCATCATCATCATCATCATCATCATCATCATCATCATCATCATCATCATCATCATCATTATCATCATCAGCATCATCATCATCAGCATCAACATCATCATCAGCATCAGCATCAGCATCAGCATCAGCATCATCATCATCAGCATCAGCATCAACATCATCGTCATCATCATCGTCATCGTCAGCATCGTCATAATCATCATCAGCATCATCAGCATCAACATCATTATCATTATCATCAACATCATCGTCATCATCATGTTCACCATATTTAGCGGCATAATCAACAGGATACTCACCAGTAGAATCGTCGTACTCAGCATCAGCATCATCATCACCATCACCATCATCATCATCATCAACATCATCATCATCATTATCATCATCAGCAGCAGCATCAGCATCAGCATCACCATCATCATCATCAGCATCATAAGCAGCATCATCATCATAAACAATAAGATTCACCATCATCACCATCATCATCTTCTTCATTCACATCATTATCTGCTTGTCTCCTCCTCCTCCCACCTCCTCAGCATCCTCCCCTTCCGCCTCCTCCTCATCCTCCATGCTCCCGTTGACCCATCCTCCTCCTTATCCTCCTCCGTATCCTCCTCCTCCTCCTCCTCCTCTTTCCCATGCTGGCATGTCTTGCATCGGCTGCCTAGAAGTGCCACATCCAATTCTCCGCCTCTTCCTCTTCCTCCCCCTCCCCCTCCTCTTCCTCCTCCTCCTCCTCCTCCTCCTCCTCCTCCGCATCCATTCCAAAATGTTCTGCGGTCCCCTCCCGGGTCCATCTGGTGCAGGTTGTCATTCCCGGATCGATGCCCCAGAAACATCCAGTATGCCTCCAAGGAGGGAGGAAGGAGGAGAAGAAAAAGGAGTAGGAAAAGGGGTAGGAAAAGGAGGAGCGTCGTCTTCGTCGTCTTCGTCGTCGTCGTCGTCGGCGGCACTGGCCGAAGGCCACTATAATATCTATAAAGCAAAACTTGTGAGGACAATTCTGAAGGCCTCGCGCGACTTACGTCGGATCCACGGCGGATTTCCGCAAGGCTCACAACGGATTGCGGACACACGTCGGATTTGTCGAAAATACTCCAAATCCCTTATTAATCGACCCTCCCCTAAAAAACCATACCCCCTTCCAAATGCGACCTACTATCGCGGACCCCCCTCTTCGACGGGGCGCCTCAATAAACCGAGCCCCCTATAAGCTCCAATCCGAAGAAAGCGCCCTCATCAACTGGACCCCCCTCGGTTACCAAAAAGGCGCCCTAAAAAACCGGACCCCGGGGGACGATGAAGAAGGGGTTTGGGGTACGTCGGCACGTCGCCGCGCGAACGACATCCCACATCCAACGGGGGCGGACCCCGTGGACGCGACGACACGAGTGCTGCGCGCGCCGCGCGGGGCCTCCAGGCCGCTTCCGCGCAGCACGGGGATGGCGAAGGGCAGGGGGGGGAGGGCGTCGGGCGTCGCTTGTTCAGGGGGGGGGCGATCAAACGGGGGGGGGCGGGCACCTTGGGCCCTCTAGGGGGCCTCAAGGCCCCTCTTCTGCAGCCATCGCTGCGCCAGCATTCCCCCCTCTCCCACCTCTACCCCCCCCACCCCTTACGCGACAAGTGGCAAAAGTACATCCAAATGGAATACCAACAGTCACCAAACTATTCCCTACTGCTCTTGAGTATGTCTCCTGTAGGAGGGACACGCCTGACTGAAATCCAGGATGCCCCTCGATTCGGGGGCGGCAAAGAGGGGGGTGTCCCAGAGAGGGGGTGCAAATCATGGCCGGCGGCATGTGCGCGCCCCAGGGGGGTGGCCGGGCACGTCTTGGAATTAGAGGAGGCGCCATGAGATCTGTGGAAATATCATGGCTCCCGTCATGATATCTACCACCCCCCTAAGTAGGGGATGTGTCGACCCCTATCCCAGGCTTCGTGGGGTTTCCAAATGGACCAGAAATTTGGGGCCCAACCCTGGGATATACGATGGGGGGGTGTCCATGCTCGGTAGGGGTGCGTCCGAATGGCCCCTTTGGGGTGTATCCCAAGATTTTCCCATTTTTCTGAGCGGCGAAACTTTTCGGGCGAAACTCGGGGATTGGGGGAGAAACATCGCCCGCGAGTCATCACCCCCCTCTTTGCCGCCCCCGACCGATGGCCCCCACCGAAACGAAACACCTGCACGCGCCCGAGCGCTGCCATGGCCACAGCGAGAGCGCGCGGCGGCCCCCCCGGGCGGGCTCTCCTCCGCCTTCTGGTGCACCGCCTCCAGGGTCGTGGGGCCGTCGCCAGCGCGCACGGCCTGCGGGCGATGGGCGACGACCGGGTCGTTGTCGTCGTCGTCGTCGTCTCTCCTCCTCCTCCTGCTCCTCCCCCTCCTCCTCCTGCTCCTCGTCCTCCTCCTCCTCCTCCTCATCCTCCTCATCCTCCTGCTCCTCATCATCCTCCTCTCCTTCTCTCCTCTTCGTCCTCCTCCTCCCTCCTCCTCCTGCTTCTTCCAGAACGAGAGAGAGAGAGAGAGAGAGGAGGGGGAGAGGAAGAGAAAGGAGGAGGAGGAGGAACATGGGCAGGATAATGGAGAAGGACGAGGGAGGATGACGACGGAGAAATCCTGGAAGCAGAGGGGATGTGGACGCAGTGGGGGCGGAGAGGAGGCAGAGCAGGCGACCCAGACCCCCGACGTAATGATCCTTTCGTTGCGTCGACCCCCAGAGGTCCCGACCCGTTCCCCATGACCGGCTTTGCATCCCGAATTCCTTTTTTGACGCTCCCGAGGCCCGGCGAGGGCCCCCGGACGCCGAAAACTCAGAACATCCTTCCGTCATGATTTTCTCATTGCTCGAGGGGGTCTGGGGAGGGTGGTACGGTGGCGAGACGGCGGTCGGAGGCCCCGCGCGGCGGCTGCCCGACCTGGGCCTGCAGACGGCCCCTGCGTGCCGCCCACGGGCGCAGAGGCCCCGACGTTCTGCGGTGGCCGGCCTTCAGCCGCCGAGGCGGGGGCGGAAGGGCCCCGCCCTGTGGCTGCCTGGCGTGGCCACGAGAACGACCACGCACGACGCGAGGGGCACGCGCCGCGGAGACGGACTATGGCGCCCCATCGGGTCACAGAAAAGTCATGACGGAGGAGGGCGTTTCGCGATGTTCGGCCTCTGGGGCCCCTGGCCAAGGCTGGGGACTGCCAAACAACGATTCAGGGTGAGAAACTGGTCCCGGGAATTGAGTCGAGACCCCCGGGGGTCGACGCTATGAAAAATTCAAAACGTCGGGGGTCTGAGTACGCGGAAGGGTACATCAAGAGCTCGCCCAGGAGAACCCTGCCACAAGAGACCCAACCCAGAGACCCCAGGACGTCCACTGCTTTTTGATGCGGAAAGGTCACGCTTTCCACAGCAAAACCATCGAAACCCAAGAAACCCAGGTCACCCTGGAGGCAAGCAGTGTGGTTCGTGGCATGGGTTTCCACTGTACTCGGAAGGGTACCGATGAGTGTGGCGTCGGCAATGGGGAGATTTTAATTATTCCTAGGGCATGCCATCGGCGTCGTGCAATCTGTGGTGCGCAGCATATGAAATCCAATTACTGTGGGAAGTGTTGAAGTCGCCATCCCGATAGCTCGAGCAACTGCTTGAGCAGACATCCTACACATCAACAAGTTGTTGTCATTACCCACCTCACCCACCACATTCAAGTAATGCTGTGACGGGAAGACCGTAACCATGCAAATTCACGACTCGAACGAGCAAATGATGATGGTAACGTGATGGCGACACCAGCGCCGATAATCATAATGAAGGTAGCGATGGTGGCGCGGACGAGAACAACGACGATGGTGACGACGGTGATGATGGTAACGATGATGGCGATGGCCATGATAATGATGGCAATGATGATGATGATGATGATGCTGCTGTCGAAGGTGATGAGAAGGGTGCGCGTAGTCTCTGATGGATGCCTTGTTGGAAACCAAATGGCGTTCGACTCTCAACCTTGAAATCCGCCGACCCTGTCGGCGTGTGTGAGGGGCTTGTCTGTTCGAATTGTCGTCTCCGTCAGTCGTGTGGGGGGGGGGTCCTGGGGGCGGGTCCGGGGGAGGGGGGGTTCAGATACCTCCCCCCCTGGGGGCCCCGCTCAGAAAGTACCAAGACAGGCCAAGGCAGCCCCAAGAGGTCGCCGAGACGGTCCAAGAGGGTCCCCAAACGCCAAACGATCGGTCCAAAACGCCTTCACGCCCTCCTGACTGCCCAGGAGGCCTCCAGGGCGCCCCAAGAAGCCCTCAAGAGCACTCCCGACAGGGCCCCAAGAGGCCACATTCACTGATTTTCCGTAGTTATTTTTTTACTTGGGCGTTCTCGCCTTTTCCAATTCCCAGCCCAAGAGGCATTCAAGAGGGCCCCCAAACAGTCCAAAAGGACCCCAACACAGCCCAAAACGCCTCCAAAATGGCCTAAGAAGGCCCCCAGGACGGCTCCAAGAGCATGCCCAGACGGAAGACCCGAACGGACATTTCGAGCCCTCGACTCCAAGAAGCTCCTGGGAGGCCCCAAGAGGTTCCCAAGAGGCTCCAAAAGGCCAACAAGAGGACCCCAGGAAGCCCGAAGAGACCCCCAAGAGGCTCCCAGAAGGCCACCAAGAGGCTCCCAAGAGGCGACATCCGAAGAGACCCCAAGAACCATCCCTGAGGACTCTGGCCCACGTCAGCGTCGTCATCGTTGCCGCCGCCGCCGTTGTCGTCGCCGTCGTCGTCGTCGTCGTTTCCCTTCAGGATCGGCGGCACCGGCCGCAAGGCCATCGCAATACGTAGAAACAACAACGATGTGTTGCAGTAATTTGGAGACGCGCGCGCAAGTACAAAATACGTCCGCGTGTGGCCCACAGGGTACTGATCAACAGGGTTGGCGCCTGCGGGACGATTACGGTATGAACTCAACATGGTGCCACCTGACAGAACGGCCACTAAACAATCCCACCAGCCCTCTGGGTGTAGGTGGTTTAGGGAGTTTCCTCTTCCAACCTCCTTCTTCCCCTTCGGGGAGGGGTTTACCCCCTATCCCCTCCCCATGGACCTGGACAGGTCCTGATCGAGGCAATTCCCTGATCGAGGCAATTCCTCTGGGCATCGTTTCTGGATGGGCTGGTGGGGATTCGCGAAGCAAGTGCGCCTCTGATTTCAGCATGGTGGATGGGCTGTTTCAACACTTCGCCTCTGATTTCAGCAAGTGCGCGCGCGCACCAAGGATTCTGCCAACTGGTAGGCTGGGGAGCAATTCGGGAGCGGCCAAGAGGGGGGTGTCCAAGAGGGGGGGGTGCAAATTATGACCGGCGGCATGTGCGCGGCCCAGCGGGGGGGCCAGGGACGTAATGAAACAAGAAGAGGCGCCATGAGATCTGGGGAAACATCATGGCCCCCGCCATGATATCCACCCCCCCTAGTCATCACCCCCCTCTTTTACGCCCCCGAGCATTAGCTTGGGGGCCACTGGTTGCGGGTAAAATCGGACGGGCCACGCGCGAGGCGCACGTGCGCAAACGTGTGGCCAACATTGTTGTCGGATACAGGTTACATGCTAATTTCCATGTGTGATCAAAGCGGGTGTGCCAACCAATCGTATCTGACAATGGTGCTGCGGGAACTCAAGGAAATGGCTGGGATCACTTCATGGACATGGTTCAACGGCCGCGCCAACAATTCAAAACATGAGGAGAGGGGGGGGCAAGTCTGCCCTCGGCGTGTGAGTAAGGGGCGAACATGCGCATCTGATAGATGCCGAACTCAGAACCTACGAGGTGCAACCACTGTTGTAAAAGACTGGGATGCAAGGTGTGCGTATATATAGAGATACGTGATGAAAGCCACGTGATGCAACACAGCAGGTGCAACATGTGTGGTGCAACCTCCACGAAGAAAAAATGAAACCAACAATCTAATCTTCACCGTTTCTGGGGGTACCAATAAGAGCACCAATACAGCGACTCCCCAGGCCTCTCCCGGGGTGCGTTCTGACCAGGAGTTCGAGGCGAATCCAGCGGCGGCGACGAGGGCCTCCCAGGAGGCCACCCAGGAGGCCCCCCTCGGAGGCCCCCCCCCCCCAAAAGCGAAAACGATGGAGGGGTAGTGGTGTGGTGTGGACACGCTGCCGCGGGGCCCAAAGGCCCGAGGTCGTGATGTTTTCAACGCGGGGTCCCCGGAAAACTCCACCCATTCCCCGGGACCGGTTTGTCAATGTGTCACCCGGGGTAGTGTTGTTGACAGCCCAGAGGCCCCCCGTGAGGGCCCCCAGAGGCCGAAAACTGAGAAACACCTCCTGCTTGATTTTTGTGTCAGTGCGTTGGACCTCTGGAGGGGGGGGGGAGGGGCGCCTTCTTCTTGTTCTGCCAGCCGGACGCCCTCAGGTCCAGGACGTCCTCCGCGGCCGCGCCGCCAGCCGCGCCCCGGGTCGCCCGGGGGGCTGCTGCGGTGGCCGACCGCAGCCCCCCGCTCCCCTCCCGTTCGGCCTGCTCCTGCTCCAGGTCCTCCGTCCCGGCTCCTCCCGCAGACCCTTTGAATTCTTCTCGTCCTCCTCGTCCTCGTCGTCCCTCGTCCTGTCCCTCCTCGTCCTCGTCCTCGTCGTCCTTCCTCGTCCTCCTCCTCGTCGTCCCTCGCCCTCCTCGTCCTCGTCGTCATCGACGTCCCTCCTCTTCCTCCTCCCTCCCAGAGATCACTCCTGTCCCCCTCATCGTCTGCTTCTTGCCCGCCCCCCCCGCCCCTCTGGGGCAGGAGCTGCGCGCGGCAGCGGAAGAGGCCGGGGCCATGCCGGAGGGGCGCGAGTGGCCTCCTGCCCCGCAACGAAGCTGCAGCCAGGCGCCATGCCTGACCCTCTCCTCCTCCTTCTCCCACCTCGTCCCGTCGTCCTTTTTCCTCCTGCGTCCCGCGTCTCGGCCTCCTCCTCCTCCTCCTCCTCCCAGCTCCCGCCCCTGCTCTCGCGGACCTGCTGTGATGGTCATCCTGCTGCGCCCCAGGCTGCAGGAGGCGGCTCCTGGGGAGCCCTCGTGCGCACGAGCAACGCCTCCTCCTCCTCCTCCTCCTCCTCCTCCTCCTCCTCCTCCGCCTCCCCCTCCCTCCCTCCCCCCCCTCCCTCCTCCCTCCCTCCCCCCCTCCCTCCCTCCTCCCTCCCTCTCCTCCCTCTCCTCCCTCTCCTCCTCCTCCTCCTCCTCCTCCTCCTCCTCCTCCTCCTCCTCCTCCTCCTCCTCTCCTCCTCCTCCTCCTCCTCCTCCTCCTCCTCCTCCTCCTCCCCCTCCTCCAGCCAGGGCCCAGGGCACGGGCGCGGCCCAGGGGAGGCCAGGGGACGAGGCTTAAGCAGAAGAGGGGGCCATGAAACAGATATCACAACCTCACCCATTGAACCCAACCCCATCAAAATCAACCCCACCGTGGCCGCCCCCGAAGAAAACGCCACTCGCCCCGATCGAGGAGCCACGGAGCTGGCCAAAACCAGATCGAGCCCAACATTACGCCCGACTCAGCCGCATCACGCGGGACGAAGTGGAATCATAAAGGGCTTATGCCGCATGCGACTCGGTTACGACCACGGTCTCTCCAGCGCCGATGCCGAAGTCAGCCTCCCAGGAGCTGCATCCTGATCCAGCGATGGCGGGCAGCATGAAAACGCGCGCGGCTCGGGCCCCAGCGCTCGGACATGGCCCGAGGGACAACCACGAGCTGTCCTCGACGCGCGTGCGTACGCTGTTCCCTGTGCGGAGGAGGAGGAGGAGGAGGAGGAGGAGGAGGAGGAGGATTCTGCCAGATTCGACTCCGACACGACCACGGACTCTCCAGCGCCGATGCCGATGCCGAATGCACCCTCCCGGGAGCTGCACATCCCGATCCGGGGACGGCGGCCACGCAGGAGAAAAAACCGAGCGCGGCGCGGGCCCTGGCGCTCGGACAGGGCCCGAGGGACGACCACGAGCTGTGCTCGACGCGCGTGCGTACGCCTAAATCGGGCCTGTCCCCGTACAGGCGGATTTTGGATGCAAAATCCAGAACCCCCCCCAAGAGATGATGCTCAAAACATATTCAAAAATATTCAAAAGAACGTCCCCATATCATATTTTGACTATGTTTGAATATTCTTCCTGTAAAGAGACAGGCCCGACTTAACGGCAGCTGCTTGAGCGGGGAGTTTCCGCGCGAACATCCCAACAGTGGGCCCCGAGGTGTGACGCTATCAACGCGCTCCCGAGTGCGAGTGTGTCAGAATCATGTTGGCGTGACTGCTTTATCTGCTGCTGCTGGTATCGTTCGTGCTATCGTTACTCAGGGAACAGAGAACCACATCGACGGTCCCGAGGCCAACCCTGAATGCTGCGGATGCCGTTGCTGACGCCGCACGCGGGGCACTGAGGTTGATAATGTGCCATGTGCTTCCGCAACTTCCAAGATGCGTTTGAAGGATACGGGTCCTGGTGGAATCGTGTCCTGGGCCCCACGGCTTTCCGCAGGATGTGGGTTCCATCCTGAGCCGTTCCCTACTGTCCCAAGGCCTAGGGAGGACCCCTTGAAGAGCCAGACAAAAAAACGAACAACTTCCGGGTATTCCATCATCCAGACCCCCTTTCATGCTTGCTGAGGAGAAGATCGATCATGGCCTTGGCATGTTTCTGGAAAGAAGTGTCAGGCCCCATTGGCATGTCGGCATCGCCAGCCGAGGGCGCGGCAACGTCAGACGACGGCAACGACGACTGACGCGTTTCCTAAAGAGACGCCAGCGAAAGGAACTTCTGAGACCGCAGCGTTGCATCTGAGACTTTGAAGTGCGAGTGTGAGCGTCGTGCGACGACCCTGCGGGCCGAACCGAGCGGACTCGAGACATCAGCATCGCCCGTCTCAAGAGTACCTTTCCCTGGGGCCCCTTTTGGAACCAAATGAACGACGTGGCGCGCGCGCCCATGGGGAGATCACAGGGTACCAGTACCGATCTTCCCCATAAATCCAGCGGTGGCAACGAGGATTTCTGAGGGGGCCCAAAAGCGAGACAACGGCCGAAGGGGAGCGGTATGGGTATTGTCTTCCCCTGAACCCAGGTAATGAGACAACCCCGACCCCGAGGCACGATACATCGCGCCACGACGAATGCGACGACGAATGCGACGACGGCGGCGGCGGCGACGGCGGTGGGGAAGAGCGGCGGCGGCGGTCCCGCAACAAGAACCGTGCCCTCGGCGGGCAATCCTTGCTGTTGGAGAGGTCTTGCACCTTCCCGGACGGGGCTTCGGCTCAGCAGGCTTTCTTGTCTGAACTCGCTTGAGCTTTTCTTCGTAGTTGGTCGGGGAGAGTGGCAGTGACTCCCTCTTCACTAGAGTATGAAGAATAGAGCGGAGGAGCTCTCGGCGGACGCGGACATGAGGTGGGGGACTGCCCCTGGAAGACAGAAGCCCACTGTTGGCGCCAACGTTCGCCATCGCCGAAACCATGCCTGTCAAACCATTTTTTGTTCTGAGGTGCTGGAAGGCACCCACCAGAGCGGGCTCGAGCCGTTGCTGTTGATGAGCGTGGTGATGACAAGCAAACGATAGGGCCTGTCTTTTGAGCGAAAAATTGAAATAACAAAAACAAGTTCAGAACATATTGAAACAGAAATAGAACATTCGTCACCATACTTCTTGGTTTGACTATTTAGATTAATGCTTGACCGCGTTCGTCACCTTACTATTTCTGAGTAAACACATCGTCACCAAACATCGGCACCAAAAATATTGGAAAAAACGCCACCAAAAATAGGAAACAATCATTGAAACAAAGATAGAAAAAAACGCCACCAAAACAGACAATCGTCACCATACGATGTTTGACTATTGTCGAGCCTCCGACGGCCCGACGGCCGAGGCCCGCCCGCCCGCCCGCCCGGCTCGCGGCTGCCCCGCCGGCACGGCAAGCGCGGCGGCGACGCGGGCAAGCGCGGCCCCACGCGCGACGACGCGGCGCCCGACGGGGCCGTGGCGGAAATGACGAGAGCCCATCTGAGATCCAAGGGCGCCCAACTTCGCGCTCTCGCGCTGCGCGCAGCGCGCTGCGCGAATACCTTCGCGCTCTCGCGCCGCCTCCCAGGGGGAGAAGGGGAGGAGGAGGAGGAGGAGGAGGAGGAGGAGGAGGAGGAGGAGGAGGAGGAGGAGGAGGAGGAACCGGAGCCGAACCGCGAGGCGCGAAGCGCGAATAACTTACTTCGCGCCCTCGAGGGCGCCCTTGATGACGAGACCCACTCTGGGCTCGGACGCGCGAGCTGCAGCTGCAAGCACCCCCCACAAAAAAACAACTACACCCTGCGAAATGCTTAAGAAATCATGGGTTAAGAAATTCCGAGTCTCAGAACTTGACGAAACACCCACAATTTCTATTAAAATCTTGGGATTTACATTGAAACGTTAAGAATAATCGAGACTCTGGCCGAAAACTTAAGTTTTCTAAAGCATCGCCTAAGGTGTACTGGACCGTCAAACTCCGGGACGCGCCCGTCAGAAGGCGTCGGCAATGCCCGAGCTCCGGCGCACTCGAGTCGTGCGCTTCCCCGAGAAGAGACGGGGTCCCGGGGAGGTGTGCGCGGGCCTCCGGGGGCATTGGGGATGGGTCCCAGGGAGAAGTCTCTCTGGTGTCTCAAAGGACCTGCCATCGCTCGGACGTCCATTCCCTGCTTTTTCGGTTTCGTGCGTGGTTTCTCGCCAAATGGTCAAGGATGCTCCTCGATAGTCCTCGCCGAAGGAAAAATGCGCACGTCCGAGCGATGCCAAGAGAAGGCACTGGGGGGGGGAGAGGGTGGGACCATGTGGGCCTGATCGAGGGGTTCTGGGGGGGGGGTCAGGATCTGTCGAAGGCCTTGCGGCGGGGTCCCCGGCGCACTCGAGCCTCACGCTTCCCCGCAATAGGAAATGAGGAGAAGGAGGAGGAGGAGGAGGAAGAAGAGGAGAAGGAGGAGGAGGAAGAGGAGGAGGGGGAGGAGGAGGCGGAGGAGGGGCCGCATCGGTACCTAACGTCACGCCATCAGCGCACAGCCCTCAGGCGGAGGAGGATCGGCGGCGAGCCCGACGGGGGGCGGGCATTCTCAGAAGGCTCGGGAGCGCCTCGGGCCTGCGGAGGAGTTCCCGAAGCCTCCCCCGAAGACGCAGAGAACTGACGAGCACCTCCGCCTTCTGAGAAGGCCTGCCCCCTCTCAACTTTCCTTCGGGCATCGCCGCCGAGAGAAGGAGGAGGATGAGGAGGAGGAGGAGGAGGAGGAGGAGGAGGAGGAGGAGGGGGAGGAGGAGGAGGGAGGAGGAGGAGGAGGAGGGAGGGAGGAGGGGGAGGAGGAGGAGGGAGGAGGGGGAGGGAGGAGAGGAGGAGGGAGGAGGAGAAGGAAGAGGAGGAGGAGGAGGAGGAGGAGAGGGAGGAGGAGGAGGAGGAGAATGAGGAGGAAGAAGAGCCTACACCCGTCAAAAAGAGGAGAAGAGGAGGAGAAGAGAGCAGGGCAGCCTGCACCCCTATCTACCCTAAAATGGAAGAGAAGAGGAGCGGAGGCGGAGGAGGGGCCACATCGGTACCTAACGTCACGCCCATCAGCTCACAGCTCTCAGGCGGAGGAGGATCGGCGGCGAGCCCGAGGGGGGGGCGGGCATTCTCAGAAGGCTCGGGAGCGCCTCGGGCCTGCGGAGGAGCTCCCGAAGCCTCCCCCGAAGACGCAGAGAACTGAGAAGCCCCGCCACCTTCTGAGAATCCCCCTCTCAACTTTCCTCGGACATCGCCGCCGAGAGGATGAGCAGGAGCAGGAGGAGGAGGAGGAAGAGGAGGAGGAGGAGGAGGAGGAGGAGAGGGAGGAGGAGGAGGAGGAGGAGAGAGGGGGAGGAGGAGGAGTAGGAGGAGGAGGAGGAGGAGGAGGAGGAGGAGGAGGAGGAGGAGGAGGAGGAGATGGAGGAGGAGGAGGAGGAGGAGAAGGAGGAGGAAGAGGTGACTGAAGCCAACGCTGGAGTCGCCGCGGGCCGAAGCATCGTGGCCAGAGTCGGGCGGGTGTCAACGGGGGACGACCGCAATGGAGGGTGAAGAGAAGGGCCCAATAGGGGCCCCTATGGGGCCGCTTTGGGAGCCAGCAGCGGCTCACCCAAAAGACCCTAAAAGACCCCTGCGGGGCCCTTCCCGGACATGCAACGTCCCGATTTGTTCAACACGCAGGCAGGCTCCTTATCCCGAATCGTTTTGTGACGGCCCCGAGGCCCAGCGAGGGCCCCCAGAGGCCGAAAATACACAAAACCTCCCGTCCTCAATCCTTCGCGGCGCGAACAGGTCTGGGTTTTCTTCACCCCCCATTCAAGTCACCCCGACTGCCTATCGCCGAGACGATTCGCTCGTCTGTACCCTCTCTCCTACAGTCTCCCTCCACGCCTCCTCTTCCAGAATTACCATTCCTTACCATCCTTCCTCATCCTCCCTCCTCCCTGCCATCGTCCTCATCCCCCTCGTCCTGTCGTTGCACGGACTATGGTGGGATGATCTTGTGATCTCCTCCTCCTCCTCCTCCTCCTCCGCCGGTTCCCTCCTCCTTCCTCCTTCCTCCTCCTCCTCCTCCTCCTCCTCCGCGGCTTCCTCCTTCTTCCTCCTCCTCCTCCTCCCTCCTCCGCGGCTTCCTCCTTCTCTCCTCCTCCTCCTCCTCCTCCTCCTCCGCGGCTTCCTCCTCCTCCTCCTCCTCCTCCTCCTCCTCCTCCTCCTCCTCCTCCTCCTCCCCCCTGCAGGTCACCCCTCACGCCCGCCCGCCCGCCAGAGGGCCCGCGAGCCTCTCGCGTGCCAGGCGCGCCGGCTTCTCGAGGTGTGGAGGGGCGCCGCCAGGCAGTGCCCTCCGCTCCCCCTCCCCTGTGCTGCTCCTTTTGGAGGAAACAGAACTATGCACATACACCGATTCTGGCCAGACCCATCCTGAGCCCAGGATCGGTGCATACTCCCTCCTACCTTGGCCAGGAAGGCATATGCACCGATGCTGGGTCAAGGATGAGCCTTGCCAGGATCGGTGCATGTGCATAGTTCTCTTCGCCCGATCCTTTGCCAGGAAGGAATGAAAATGTCAATGACGGAGGGACTCATTTGGCGGCGTCACGTTTCCTCGTGTTCCACAAGCTTGGTGGCGGGCTCCACGGGTGGGTTTCCTGTCCCTCGTAGCCGCGCTGCTCGTCGTGCTCAGGGGGTGCATCGTTTGTACATGTCACTCCTGTGATTGCGGAAATCCTGGAAATCCTGCTGCGCGTGCTGGCGGGAGGGGTGGTAACCTGGAGATCCGACGCTCCGAAGAAACAAGAAAAGCGGTGGGTTTGGGGTTGTGTTCGGCCTCCCGGGGCCCTCGCCGAGCCTCGGGACGGTCAAAAAAGGACTCAGGACGAAAAATCGGCCCCAGGGAAGTGTTCCGGAGCTCTGGGGCCCACGCATCGAGAAAATTGGATCAGCCAGATGTCTGGGAATGGGGGGTGAAACCATAGAAGGGGGAGATAAGGGTTCAAAAGGGGCCCTTTAGGGCCCCTATTGACTCCAAACAAAAACCCTGATGGCGGCTTTAGGGCCCTTTGGTACCCCTGCTCGCGCGTGGGCTGGCGGGAGGGAGGGCCACGAGGACGAAGCCACGACGAGGCTAACATCGGAGGAAGATAAGTCGAGAATCTCTCAGATCTGGCGGCTCCAGAGGATGTCTCCGGCGTTCTGGAACGCTCTGAGAGCGTTCTGGAACGCTCTGGCTGGAACAGGCCAGTCCGTAGCTTCGTGCTGCGTCCGCGCGGGCCAAGGTCCTCGACACCGCGTCGGTCGCTCCACCTTGAATCGATCGCGGCCCCAATCGGTCAAGGTTGAATTCCGTCGGGTCTCGTGGCGTCACCGTGTCCCTCGATGCTTCCGCGCCGCAGAATTCAGCCTTGAAGGGCCGTACAGACGAAACCAGGACGAGGATAACATCGGGCGATGAAACATCGAGAATCTTGGAGACCCGGCGGCGCTCTGGAGGTTGCATCGGGCGCCGCGGCCTTCTGACTCCGTTCAGGACCGCTCTCAGAGCGTTTCTTCACGCCCTCGAGCGGATTAATCCTAGTCCTAGCCCCGTCCGATCACTGAATCCTTTGTGGACCTCCGCGGCCTCATCATCAACGACGTGATTTCGTGCCATAGCCTTTTGGACTCCGGCCGGTCTGACGAGGCGGCGGGGCCGCGGAAAGCTCGCCCCGCACGAGCCATCCCCATCGCAGGCTTGAGGTCGCCACTCGTGGTACTGCGCCCTGGCCTACGATTAGGTCGGGCATGTCCCCCCTACAAAGGGATTCTGGACGAAAAGTAACAACACCCCAAAATACACCAACCTATGTTTTCCAAATGCTCAAACATTGTCCCCAGATTTTGTCCTATGTTTGAATGTTCCTCTTGTAAGAGGGGCAGGCTCGATTTAAGCCTATGACCTCGCGGGCTGGCCTGCGCAGGCGGTGGGCTGCGATTCGCACGCTGACATCCTGCAAGAACCTGGCCTCTCGGCGCCCTCGTCGGGGCTCTTCTCGGGGCGTCTGGGAGGCCCCCAGCGCCGCATGGATGCAACGCTGGGCTGCCCCCGAGCGTTGCCGAGGCCCCCAGGGCGGCCCAGACGTATTCTTGGATGGTCCTGGGCTGGCCCAAGGCGCGTCTTTAGGCCGTCCAGGCACCCTCGAAGCCGTGCAGGGCCCCCTCGGGGCGGGAACTGCGGCAGCGCCCCGCCCCACCTCGACCTACTCTGATATTATATGATATGCCATAAATATGTATATGTAGATATATGTGTCTGTGTGTATAAAAATTGACATATCAAAGACATGCATGTACGCACATGTATACGCATATGCCAATACAAACATGTGTACACACTTATGTGCTCATATCGAGCATAATACGACTAATAATAAGCATAATCATAATAACCAAAATAATAACCATAATAATAGCCGCAATACTAATAATACTGATATGACCATATACGCATAGCTAACACACATATGAACATATATATATATATATATGAATGAATATAGCTTTGATGAAATATACGCCTTTGGGCGACGAGCCAACAACAGGTCTAACGCTAAATGGCATAACGACCTTACGCCGCGGCTTCCGCGGGCCGCCAGCGTGGCACGATACAGTGGAGACGAGGGCTCTGACGTGCGACCTTTCGCGGGCAGCTTCCGCGCTGCATGTCGCCGCAATCGACTCCAGTTTCTCGGGGCGTCGCTTGATGGGCCTGTTTTTCCACCACCACCACCACCATAGGAGGAGGAGGAGGCGGCGGCGGCGGAGGAGGAGGAGGAGGAGGAGGGAGGAGACGGAGGTGGAGGAGGTAGGGGGGAGGAGGAGGAGGAGGAGGAGGTGGAGGAGGAGGAGATGGACCCCTCCCCGTCCAACTTGTGGTGGTGGCGGCGGAAACCAGGCCCATCGTCGCGCAGAGATGTCGGACCTGGCGACCCTGCCACCCCGGCTACCCAGACCCCATCGGGGAGGCCCCTCGGAAGGCTCCTCGCCCGCTGCCTTGGTGCGCGCCGCGCGGCCCCGCGGGCACATGTCACCAGCCCAATCCTCCTCCCCCTCCTCCTCCTCCTCCTCTTCCTCCTCCTCCTCCTTCTCCTCCTCCTCCTCCTCCTCTCTTTCCCCCTCCTCCTCCTCTTTTTCCTCCTCCTCCTCCTCCTCGTCCTCGTCCTCCTCCTCCTCCTCCTCCTCCTCATCGCCACGCCAGGTCCGCCATCTGAGCGACGCACAAAAATAAAGTCCCGCCGCCCCTCGCCGCGCCGACGCGCACGCACTGGCGGGCAAGGAGGGGCGCGGGGGGCAGGGGGGGCGGCCTGCCGGAAGGCGGCCTCCAGGTGGGCGCGGTACGCCTCGGAGGCGGCCGCGGCCGGAAGGGGGGCAGGGGGCCAGCGGGTGGAGCAGGAGCCGACCGTCCCGACATTCCCATAGGCCTACCACGAAATCTTCTGAGAACCCAAACATGTTCAAATAACAAAGAACAATGTTATTGGAACATGGGCCCGATCGACTAACACAGGACAGTCTCAGCCAGAAGTGTTCTAAGAACACGTCGTGCAAACCTCACAAGGTCTTAGAACATTCTTTGGTGGGCCTACAGGCAAGCCAGGGCGCTTCGCCACTGCTTGAGGTGGGGAGAAGGGAGGAAGACGTGAGTCTTGTTGAAGATTATGTTGTTCCCATCTCACTTCAGGACCACATCCCAGAAATAATTCCGAGCACCCGGAAAAGTGTCAAAAGAGTATCGAAGCAGTGTCGAAACAGTGTCGGGCGAGTGTCCCCCAGGGCCCGGCACGTGAAAACCCTGGAGTTTCGATACTTTTTTGAGGCGCTCGAAACTCTTCCTGGTGATCAAGGCGAAGGTCGGTTGGAGCATCATAAGTTGAAGACTCATTCTTTGAGGGATGAAAAAACGACCCTACCCTGGGTTACAAGTGCGTGGTCCGTAAACCTCCTGGGACCCCCCAAAGCCTAGAACCGCCAGGACACGGCACATCACGCAGGGTTTACTCTGTT